CAAAGTCCAGCACTAGTCTGCAGGCTCCATCCCTGAGCTGAATCCTCTGTATGGGGCGTGTGGGACACAGGCAAAGCAGCACAACCCAATCTATAGGCTGCCAGTGGGGGCAAGGGGCTTTCCTGAAATGTGGTGGCGTTTGGCAAAAAGATTACACTTCTCACGTAGAGCTTAATTTCAAAAGAATCCAAGTAGAAAACTCATTTTTCATATGCCTGCATGGTACCTGTCTGCCTGGCTAACCATGCCTTTTCTTCAGAGTTTGCTGCACAGCTCAGAACACACAAGCATTCCAACCAAGCCAGTCCTCCTGTCATGCAGAAGAGATGGTTAGGAATTGCCTCAGAAACATGAAGTACCACCTCCGTTGTGGCTGGGACACCTTGTGCCATCCACAATAATGTCATGTTTGTTCAGGTGGCCACTGCAAGATCCTCCTGGGACTCCTGTGAGGATATTTGTGGTACTTCAAATTAAAGCAATTCCTCCTGCCCTTTAGATTCTATGCAGGAACACTTGCATAGTCTAGGTATGAGACTGGTCTAGGTGGAAATTTATCACCTACTACTTCATGGGGAGCAGGAATTTCCCCATTAAAGGCTGGGGCCCAGCCAGCTCTCAGCTCAGCATCAAGCATAAATTTTTCTGTACTTTACAATAGCAACAATAAGAGCACAGTGCTCTGTGTAGAGGAGTGCACACCCAACACCCCCCAGCCACTGGCTGCTTCCTCCTTGCCCAGACTATCCTGGCACATAGAGATAGTCAGACAGTATCTATCAAATCCACTATTTTTGTACTTACTGTTCTCTGCCATATAAAAGCTTTTGGAAATCAGGTGCTGCTTGCCAACCATCTCTGTAACATCCACCTGGACTTTGATATCTGCCAGGAGTACAGTCATGTCCACAGTGCATGTGTACTGTTTGTGACTGGTGTTCCTGGGCAACTGCAGCAGACTGCAGGCAGCCACAGTATTTTTTGGATCTTCCTCAGAAAACCTAAAACCACCAAAACAAACAAACAAACAAGTCCACATCTACTACATGCTGTATACAGTTGGACTAATCTGTTGCTGAACCATCACACACAGAAATCAATAAGAGAAAAAAGAGGCATCATGTTCAAATAAAAAATTATCTTTGAACTTTGACAATTTTTTTCCTCTTCTATTTGCTCAGCTTAGCATCTTTGAGAGAAGCAGGAAAGTGAGGCTGAAGTATTCATGGAAAAGAAATGTGCTCACCAGGGCTGCACAGCCCAGGACTGCACCCACTTCCTTGCTGGGGTAGAAGAGCAGCCAAAAGGTCTTGGACAAGCCCTGCCAGCACACGAGTGAAAGTCCACTGTTAACAGCAGCAAAGGGCAAGGTATCCCCAGGGCAGGGGAGAAAATGATGCCAAGGAAGCCAGAGTCAGTGTAGCAGTCAGTGGACACAGGGATCCTTTGCTAGGGGAGAAGCCAGTTTATAACTGGAGCATGTGTGAAGTACCAAGTAAAAACCAGCATGGCAGCAAGAACAAGAATTCTACCTAACAAAGAGGATGGAAGGACACCTCTGTGCTATGGCTGTGTTAGAAGTTCCTGAGGACTGCCCTCTGCCCATCCTACTGGGACGTACCATGTTGCAGTGAGGTGATAGGAACCAGCACCCAAGTCATTGCTCAGGATACAGGACAGGGTCTGCACATAGTCCACAAAACAAGTGAGGTTTTCACAACATGTAACTGTAGGTTTGGAAAGAGAAAACACAGTATCAGCTTCCATAATGAAGGAAGCAGAACTTTAATATCAACATACACAGTCCTCAGGGCTCCCACTAAATCTGAAGGGAACAGACCACTCTGTGCCAACCCCAAAGAAGTCTCCAGTTGTGGAGTGTAAGATGTTTTTCATCTCTACAGGGAGCAGAGTCATTGCCAGCAAGATCAGCATGAGACAGAAGTCTATTAAAAATGCTGTGGGAGCAAATGGCATGCCTAAATACCAGGAAATTCAAAAAATGTGGCTGAATTTTCAAGCTTCTCTCTGTCCCCTCTTGTACAGTCATTACAGGAGAGTGACATGCTAGTTCTTTAAGAGTTCTAGTTTATGTATCAGATAAGAGAGGCACAATGACCCCATCAGGAACAGTAGCATATTCAAACATTTTTATGATACCACTTCCTAAACTGAGTACTGTTTTTGCTAGTGTTATGACACACATCTACGTGGCATCTTGCACATTTGAAAAAGGTGGTATTTTAGTAATTATTTCTTTATCATTCTCTCTGCTTACTATTTTTTACAGCTTGATACCTGCAGCATCAATACTTTTCATCTCCAGCGGCTCAGAATATGCTTTTCATGGAATTTTGGAAAAAAAAATATGGCAAATTTGCAGTTCCTATAACTTCCATTAATAATTCTGATACTGAAGTGATAGGAATAACTTATTAATCACTTAAACTGCAACAGACCTCTAAAGAGAACTCGAGAGGCAACTGTAGAATTTACACTGGTCATTAAGAGAATTAACTAATTTGAAAGTGCTCATAAGTTCAAAGGAAAACAAGGTCCAACTTTTCCCACTGACTTCACTAATAACAGAAGTTTCTTCCTAGTCCTGTTGCCTCAGAGCACATGCTGCTCTCCCTACAGGAGTTTTGGGCAACACTCAGATCTGTGTGCAAGGCCCCCCCAAAGAGACAGAATGTCAACAGAAGACATTTGGTGATGCTCAAGATGGACTGACCCCAAGGGTGTATATGCACTTTACTGAACTGTAAGTCATGAAAATTATGTGGTTGTCACTTTGTTTCATTTTGACTTTTTCATTTTACACTGACTTCAGAATTTTGTTCAATTTTTTTTCATTAAGTTTTAACTTTTTATTTTGAGCCCTCAATAGGCTCTTCAGAGAGCCCTGGTACAAGCACTGTTTTTTCCAGAGCCCTGAACAACATACTTTTGCTACCTTAGCCTAACTTTACTCTCCCATATAGATGGGGTTTTAAAATCATTACTTTTCTTTAGAGAGGGGAGCAGGTATTGATAAGCTAATCAGCACTGCCAACTAGCATTCTTCTATGCTATTATGTTGATCAGTCAGAGGGACTACTATCCCTAGGTAGCTGGCAAGCTGCAAGCGTATCTTTGGGCAAGAATCTGTTAACAAAATTCAGAAGAGGAATGTTTTTTACTGTGAATGGAATAATTAAGTGTCCTAAACCCAGTTACATCTAGGATGAATCGTCTGTCTCTGGCAGCTTCAGAAACAAAAATCAAATACTTTTAACAGCTAGATCTCGTTTGGTCCAAACTGAAATTAGTACAGGGCAATTCCCTGGCTTGTGTTACACAAAATTCAGTCCAGACACCAATGGTACTGTATGGCAGCAAGACAGAACTCTAAATTAATCTTTTCTGCTAATTTAGGTTTGGAGCAGGTCCATTGCTCTGGCTAGAAGCAGCATGTAAAATGCTAAACTTGCACCTGTTCCCTGCAGACACTTGTCACTGCTGATTTCTGTCCAGCTGACCTGTTCAGAGAGCCAGCTCTGAGTCAGCTGCAGCCTGTGTCGGGGGCTGGAACCAGCGGAAAGGCAGAGAGACTGCACAGCACAGTCCTGAGCTAAGGGGCTCACACCAGGACAGGCTCAGCCCCTGTCCCTGGCTGGCCTGCCAACAGCAGCCATAAGTCCTGAGGATATCCTGGTCTTGGCCACCAGAGCAAAGGCATTTTTTTTGTGGGGGAAATCCTGCTCTAAATGTCAACAGGAGACATTTTGATGCAAGGCAGGCATGTCCTCTGCACTCTCCCCACTGGTGCTGCTCCTTGGAGTGCTATACAGTCTGCCTGAGCTCTACCTAGCCATGCACTTTCTTGTGTCTGTCCTCCATTGCCCATGGAGGCTCTTCCATAACTCATTATCTCATGGAATCCTCTCACTTAGTACCTATCTTGTGCTTGCTGTCCCATGGCAATCTTGTGCTATGCACATCCCAGCAGAGCCTGTATCAATGGCCACCAAGATAAATCCTGTGGGTGCACACCCTAGAAGAGGTATCTGGGAACTTACTGTACTGGAATAAGAGGAAGAAGGAAATGCTCTGGAGGCACAGTTTGTTTCTCATGTTGGTTCTGACTGGGTGTCCTGGGGAAAAAAAATTAATTAGAAGAAATCCAACAACCAGACAATTAAAAGTTCAGCTCAGCCATCTACTCATATGTCGGGTGGAATTAATGTTGCTTTCATTTAAATGTCTAAAAGTAGAGTGCCTCATTTAGGCAAGTCATCTCAGCTCTCCTCTATGCACCTACCCCACAGACTAAGGGGGATGACCAAGAGCCCTGCCAACAGGCCACAAACCTAGTCAGTGAAACCTCTGCTCCTTGCCAGCAGCATGTACATGAGAAAGCAGCCAAATGGCTGCAGCCTCAGTCCATCCATGCAACAGGAAGGCACTTGGGTGAAATGCTAGCCCCCTTTTTTTGTTGGTTTCTTGCAGTTAGAAATGGCTTGTGACTTGGAGAAATGACACTGCTGTGGCCTGAACAGTGAATTAGTCAGAGCCTGAATGACACTGTGGGCCTGTGTGAGCAAGGCTTGTGAGAACTCACTGGGTTGGCCCACCCATGGCTAAACAAGCATGAAGTACCTAGTTAAGGGACTCCAGGAAGGCAGACCAGCCAAAAAAAAACCACCAAAAAACCCCCAAAAAACCAAACCCAAAAAACCAGCCTCCCATGTGGCACAGAAGAGAATTATGTACAAGCTCTGACTTCAGGGGAAGTGATGGTTTGTTGAAGAGAAGCTACAGGAAAGTCTTTAGGGAAGAGGACAGCAGGATGTTTACAGCAACATGAGGAAGGAGCATCATGTACAAATGACTGCTCAGCCCACAGCCCCTGCTCCAAGACCAGGCCCTCAAGCCACGTAACACATGAAGGCTGCATTTTCACAGTGTTTACATTTTACAGAAGATATGCACAGAAAGACTTAAAATGAGCTTCCTGTAGAGTATTGGCTGTTGATACCTGGTACAGATTTCAGAAGTGTTCTGAAGCTATTCTGAAATGGACTAGGCTGCCCGCAGACAAGACTTTGGAGAAGTAACCTGTATTATTTTGGGGAGATACTTCTGTTGGCATCAAGTTGCAAGGATACACAGGCAGCAGGGAGGGCCCATATACCATGCCAAGAGCAGCAGCACTTGCAGTGACTGGATGGACAGAAGTGTCTCTGCAGAGCCCCAAAGCTCTGCAAAGTCTCCTGCACTGGATTGCACAGAGACACCTGTGAAAGTGATACTGGTGCAGATTGGGCACCAAACTGCAGCCACCAGATGATACTCAGAGCTCCTTGCAGGGCCTGGTGCAGGTCACAGAATGTTTTGGGTCAGAAGTGACCTTTAGAGGTCATCTACTCCAACACCCCTATAACAAGCAGGGACATCTTCAACTAGATGATGTTGCTCAGAGCCTCATCAAAGCTCCAGGGATGGGGCATCTACCACCTCTTTGGGCAGCCTGTGCCAGTGGTTCAACATCTGCATTGTAAAAATATTTCTTCCTTATATTTAGTCTAAATCTCCCCTCATTCAGTTTAAAACCATCACCCCTTATCCTACTGCTACAGGCCCTGCTAAGGGGGCTGTCCCCATCTTTCCTATAGGTTCCCTTTAAGTATTGAGAGGCCACAATAAGGTCTTCCCAGAGCCTTCTCTTCTCCAGGCTGAACAAACCTAAGTCTCTCAGCCTTTCTTCATAGGAGAGGTGTTCCACCCCTCTGATCATTTCTGGGGCCTCCCGTGGACCCACTCTAACAGGTTCATGTCTTTCCTGCGCTGAGGACCCCAGAACTGGACACAGCACCGGAGAGGGGGTCCCACCTCCGAGGAGCAGAGGGGCAGAATCCCCTCCCTCAACCTTCTGGCCATGAGTCTCTTGATGCAGCCCAGGATATGACTGGCTTTCTGGGCTATCAGCACACATTGCTGGTTCACATTGGCTTTTTCATCCACTATTACCCTCAAGTCCTTCTCGGCAGGGCTGCTCTCTATCCCTTAATCCCCCAGCCTGTGTTGGTACCGGGGGCCACCCTGACCCAGGTGCACGACCCAGGTCCTGGACTGCCTGTGGCTCCCCACCAGCAGCAGCAAACACTCAGACAGTCACTCAGCAGAGAGCACGGCAGTGAGGCCTCTCCCACTTGGGGAACATTTGTGGTGTCAAAAAATTTCCCAGGTTTACTCAAATAACGAAAGCAAAATAAATTTAGCAGCCACCAAAAAGCCCCTGCAGCCACATGTGAACACAGAGTGGGGCTGTCAAGGTACCACAGCATCCAGATGAGATCAGCGCTCGCTCAGAGGTGCCACCAACACCCCCGGGCCCCTCCTGCCCTCGCCCTCGGAGCCGGCCCAGCCAGGGCCCTGCTGGGCTCCCTCCCTCCCCTGCTGCCAGCGCCACAACACACACTTTCCCCGCACTACAGCCCTTCTTTCTGCATCACGTTTCCCTGAGGAGACACGTTTCCTGACCCCGCTGGTCACAGCCCACTGCCCATCCCCGCCTTGTGCTCCCGCTCATCCTTCCACTGCCCTTCTCCAGCTCCTGGCTTCCCGCCCTGGGCCCGCTCTCGGGCCTGGCGCTCATTAGGCCTAGAGACACAATACAGGGGATTGTCCACTGCATTTTTAAATCATCCTTCTCCCTGTAAAGCGCCTGTTGCTGCTGGGCTGGGACTGCTCAGGGCTCTCCAGCCCGGGATGCCGATGCCTGCCCCGCGGGGCCTGCGGGCCAGGCACACCTCACACCCTGCAGGGCTGCGGGAGCCCATCGCGCTGTCACTGCTTTGTGACCGTCACACTCCAGTCTCGGCCACCTTGTAAGGGCAAGAAAGGCAACTTGCTGCCTCTTCCTCAGCCGAGGAAGGAAAGGTTGGTCCCTCAGGGAGCTCTGCAGATCCACTGCTTGTTTCAGAACCCAGCTGACAGTGCCTCCTGCATTGCGTGTTCAAGATAGTTCTGTATCTCCCTCATTTTACCTCTATTCCTGTCTAAATGGACAGAGCAATGCAAGCAAAGCCTTTTCTGCTTTTAGCTATTGGACTCTTGTTTCTTTAAAGTGCCCCCCCTGTTTTCCTTCCTTTGCTCAGAGAATAATACCCTCAATCCAATGGGACAGGAAGGACTGAACAGGAAATAGTCAGAGGAATAAGCCCAAACAGCTCCTTATGAAAATGTCTTACGGAGATATCAGAGGCCACTACACACTGGGGAGAGGTTAGCAAACAAGGTTGTGATCTAGAAGGAAGCAATCTGAATAAGAGCACAATAGCAAAAATAAGACAGAAAAGCAATAGGATCTGTTAACACAGGTGAACCAAGGAGACAGTACTTTCTCACCTGGGACTCTGCTGTCCCATGTCTTACCCTTGCCAGTGCTCTCAGATTAGTTTAACACTTACCTCTTTTACTTTTCACACATTTCTCCTACCTCAGTGTCGTGGGGAAAGACTGATACTTCCAAGAGAACCATAGACAGTGTCAGTGTGATGCATGCCTGGCTGTGCTCTGGGTTCTGGTAACAAGACATGGATGTGTGTGGCAAAGGGCTGGGAAAGATGCAGCTCTGCAGCTGTCTCTGAGGTCTTTGATGGCTGGAAGACCTCATGGCTTCACAGAGGCTTGTGGCAGCCCCTGTTCTGAAGCTTTCTCCAGTCAGGCCCTCTGCAAGCCTCAATCCTGGTGTATGCTTAAGACCCCCACCTTTCCTAAACTCAAAATCCCTCAGTTTGTCACACCCCATTTGCTTTAATCTGCCAGCACCCTTCTCCTGATTGTTCACTTGGAGGGAACAACAGCAGTGGCAACGAGCAGAGGCAGGAACTTACTCCCTGTCTGGGATTAGAAAAGTCCTTTTTACTACCTCATTTCAATTTATCTGTGAAATGGGGATTCCAAGACAGCTCCATGCATTCTTGAAACTCAGTTACTTAATTCTTATAAAATGTCAAGCACTGTACAGCTGCTAAGCACCATTGCTGCAAACTCTGTAGTGTCCTAGGGAGCTGGGTGTGACAGCACAGTAATGGAGTTGATTAGCCACTCATACAGATGTGCACAAGTAAATTATGCTACAAGGCTTTAATATACCAGATAATAGGAAATAGGACCAATACAGAGACATTTATGAAGAATTTTTTTTTAAGAATCTGGAAATATGGTGCTATAAGTTGCCAAAGCTCACATTTTGAAAAGCCTCCAGGAAACATATGCACGTAAAAAACCACCACCACAAAAAAAAAAAGTCAATTAAGAATTCAGCTTAAATAAAATAGAAAAAAAAATCTGATATTTCCAAGCATGCTAAAGTATATCTAATAGCTATATCCAAGGAAAAAAAAAAAGAGTCAGTGTCTCTTTCCCTCAGTTATGTAGAAACCCAAGCTTTCTT